TGAAAAGCAGTGGTCTTGAAACTTCTGGGAGTGCTTTTCAAATGTAGCTTTTCATTTTGTTTAGGAAGTAATGCTGGATATAGATGACAAGTTTTTAGCTTTATTTGAAGGCATGGGGGGGGGAAATTCTGTTTGATGTAAAAAGAATTCAAACTGAGATTCTATTTGCATTAAGACATAATCCTTAGCACAAAAAAGAGTAATATCTATTTTAAAGCTAGGCCAAACCATCAACATTTTAACAGCTCAGGTGTCTGATATTTGAATCATGATGAGATTCAGCTGAGGACAGCTTGACTTTTATTTGAGTGGTTGCAACAAGTTACAGGCCTTAGCAAAGGTATGTGCACATTTTTCCGCTCTTTGGAAATAAGTTGCTTACCTCAGGAGAAAAGCAGCTTTGTCCTTTGATCTCGGTTTATCCGCTGAGAAGTAGAACTGTTCACCTGATTAAAACCAGCCTTCGTCGTGTTTGCTCTTTTAAAGCTTGTTAATGGATGGAATGACTGGACATCGCAGCTGCGGACTGGATATGCTTCCCATCTGCACCATGAGATAAGGCCAAGCTCAGGCACCTCGATGGGGATTTTGGAGGAGTTTACTCCTGTGTAGCTGTCAGGTTATCTGGGAACAGCCTAAGCTCTGCCATGGCCTTATTTTTCGGCATTTCCTAAGCGGAGTCCCGCAACTGCTACGCTCTTTACGAGGCTGGGTGCTTTGGCCGTTAGTGTACGGTGATGTCCAGTGGGGACCCAAAACCTGTGTGGTTCCTTCTCGCCTCTGTCGCGTTGGTCACTTTCGGAGACCAGTCCTGAAACTATGCTGAGCGTGTAAACAGTGGTCAGGTTCATGATGCCGTATATTAGCGTTGCTACTTTCTGAAGTGGAGGGTGGCTTTCTCCTGATATTTTTCTAGTTAGAGCATTGGCACAGTTACGTGTTCCCTTTTCTATGTGAAGGGATTTGACCTTTTTATTCCCCTCCCTGCCCCAGCTTGAGCCCTGAACTAGGAAGGGAAGGGTCACAGTTGGAGGATGTGATCCAAGATGCGTTTTCATTATGCACCAAGAATTTGGACAAAACGCTTACAGATGCGCTCTGTGTAGGAGAGCCTCTGCCAAAAGAATAACACCACGTTCCCTGGGGAATTGTCGATTCCTTCCTATGCGGTAGCCTAGCTCGAGTGGACAGAGAGGAAAGTGCTCCCAGCTCGGACTGTATCGCAGTGTAGGTGCTAGGATGCTCTTGAAAGAGAGAGAGGAGTTCTGTGCCTACAGTCTGTGTTGCTTAGGTCTTGTATCTGCTGGGATGTTGTATGTGAAAAAAGGTGGCCTGGCTCTTGCTGCCACCCCTTCCCACCCCTAGGCTTTACGGGGAGGGAGGAATTACTCTTTTACTTTTGGGGAGGGAGAGTGGAGGGACACAAGGAAAAGGCACGCATGCCTGTGGCATGAAGCGTGTTCTCAGCACGTTGCCTTCCTGCAGCCTGTGGTAGGGACCTGAACTGAAGACTGTGTCCGAAGTGACCACGCTTACAAGAGTAATGCTAGCCCGCTGCTTGGCACACGGCTTGCTTTGGATCCGGTTCTCATGCAATTGCATGGATTATTTGAGGTGCTGTACTGGGTCTCGGTGCTCTCTGTAGGATCACGGGCTTCCGACTCGGGGTTCCGGATAGCATTCTGTGGGCTGGAACTTCACTATTCCTTTTCAGCCAGCTGTAGCCTTTTGAGCCACTCTCCAAATACTGGAAATGGAGTTCAACAGTAGCTGAGATGTTTATAGCGTTGTTCTACAGTATCGTGGGTTTTTTTTTTTTTTCAAGTACTATGGTTTTGCTGGGTATTGTTTCATTATTTATTTGCCAACCTCACATTCCAAGGAACATCGTCATTAGATGCATTGGCGTTAAATACGGACAGTGTTCTGGTAGTGGGTGTGCCTTGGTGTTTGCCAAATGACAGAGCTTTTGAGGTGGTCATTATCTTCCTGGTCTGTAGGTTAGACCTGCATTTAAGATAATTCATTTGCGACGTAGGGCTGTAGTTTAGGACCATGGGAGGAATGAGCATGGTTCCAATGCGTCCCTCTCGGCACCTGCTAAAGTACAGGTACATGGCTGAAAAAGCTTTTGGTGGACAAGAAATGGCTTAGCTGAGCCCAAGATTATTTTTCCCAGTTCCTGTTTCTGTAGGTAGTAGTAAAGCATCGAGCAATGGAGAGGTAAATGTAGCTGCTGTATGTTTCTGTTGATAAATACTCCGTTTGATTGACGATATTTATTTCTTTTTGCAGGTCAAAGAATTTTTGAGCACGTTATAATCCGCTTTGAAGCACAGGCAGAGTCAAACTGTTCCAAACATCTGTGCGATCAAAGTCTGAAGTACAGCTTCTGCTTTTTTAGAAGGCCTCTGGAGGGGCAGGACTCAATCCTGTTGATTTAATTGTGAGGAACAAACAAACTTTGTGAATAGGAAATTATTAAATAAATCCGTAGGTCTGTTTAGTATTACAGTAACGCATGCAAATTCGGAAGATAGTAGGATTCTGGGAGTTCCCAAATATTGCGCCGATTTCTAGTCAAACCAGTAAGTTCTTCTGGAGTATCTTATTGTATTTTTTTAATTTATTTTGTGCCTGGTAGCTATTTAATGTTCAGGAAGGTAGTGGTTTTTTTAGAACTCTTGAACATTTTTTAGTGGAATTGATTTGTAATGGATGTCTCATTGTTCTGAGGAAGAAATAAGTCAAAACCATTTTTGCTGGTGAGGGAATTTTAATATAACCTGGAGTTTTATATCGTAAGGTGTAAAGAAATGCCGCCTGACAATTGTGATAGATGAAGTTCTTGGCAGAATACACTGAATTAAACCAAATCCAAAAGATGGCTGAAATTCTGTAGGTATCAAATTAGGTTTTGTATCTGTTTTGATTGTGTACTGCAAACTAGGATATAGGCTTTCTGGTCTCTAGCATGTTTGGGTTTGGTGATTTTTAAATTTTTTTTTTTTTTTTAACTCTTAACAGCCAAAACCAGGTCTATTTTATTGGTAAATCCTGTTTTCCTGTAGAGGAGTATGCTTGCTTGATGGTACCCTAAAAGGAAGAAGAAAATTTTGCAAACGGCCTCCGTCTGTAAATGACGTGTCTCTAACCATTTCCTTAATCACGTTTCGGATGTCAGAGGTGGCTTCCTGCTTTTGTTCCAGCTTCTCCATTTGTTCACTGGGCATTCTGGATGCTTGTATGAGATGCTACAATATTTGAAGTAGGCTGTCCTTTCTCATCTTGTAGTAGTAAGAAGGGCAGACCTTTGTGGAGTAGCTGCTGTTCTGGCGTATCTTGTTTTATTGACTGAGCCACTTTTGTTTCAGGTGCAAAAAACAGAAACGACACAGGGTACGCATCTCAAGTACTGTGTTTTATGAGCTGCTTTGTTCTGCTTTAAACATTTCTGAACGATTGCACAGCTGGCTTTTGAATGCAAAATTTTATTGTCAAGTGTTTTTATTGCCTACTGTGGTGCCTGTGTTACCTGCTAATTAGAGATGAAATTTCTTCCATTGTGGTTGGAATTGTGCTGGCGTTCTCTAACCGTTGACTGAAAAATAAAAGTGCTTGGAAAGACTTCTTCAGTGCTTGATAGCATTGGGTCCTTGGTCTCATAAAAGAAATGATGTCGGAGATTGCTGGTACGTGATACTAGTACAGCGGGTGAATTTAAGATTATGTATTCTCAGTGTATTTGTTGTGCAAGTTCTCTAAGATTTCTGCAACACAGCGACTGGCTTCAGCTTGTGTTCATGTATGGGAAATGATCTTATGGGATAGAGACCCGGGATTCCATAAAATGTATGGTATGTATAACTTGCCGATCAGTGGAAGTGTTCTGTGTAATGCTGACGTTACAGTGGAATGTAGCAACAGGATGGTGGGAAATCTTGTTTTGGACTTCAGGGTTGCCTAGTAAAAGGCAAAATTTTAAGATCTTTGCTCCAGAAATGAAGCAAGGTAGAACGGATGAAGAGTCATTTCAGATTTACTTGAAACATACAGTAGAAGCCTTTAAAACATTCTTGGCAACAGTCTGAACTGTAACAACTTATTTTGACTAACAGTGCAATTATTCCTACAGTTTCAGCTGTCAAAATTGTGGACTTAATTACAGGAATTGGAATGACAGTGCTCATCGCAAGGAGTAAACAAGGCTGAGTTCTAATAAAGACTTCTTTTTAAACCCGTCACAGAGCACACAGAAATTCTGTGGCAGGTTATCTGCATCCCGTTCCAGAAAGTTTTGCGAAACCTCTGCCAAGTTTGGGTTCGAAGGAGCAAAGTCGTGACCAATTATTAGAATGCTTTTAATTGCTGTGGAGAAAAAACAAGAATAAAACCAAACCGCACCCCCCACCCACCCCCAAGCTTCTCGGGGCTTGGAAACGATCTGGGCTGAAGTACGTGAAGCTGCAGTTATTTGTGCGGAGGAAAAGACGCGGCATAAACAGAAGCGGAGATGTCCTTAGGCTGTTCTGCCTGTCCGTCGGCTTAAACTTCGCAGCTCCATCAGTACCTCAGACGTTCACATTTGTCAGTATTCTTTTCTTTGCTTAAATCTATTCCCAGGCTACCACGAAAGAGGATTGTTGGGTTGGGTTTTGCCTATTGGAGAGATGGAAGGTTTCTGAGCTGATGCCTGCTCTTTGGCAATGATGTGTTTTCTGTCTTTGAGTGCTGTGTCCCTTTCTCTTCCCTTGGGTAAGGGTGGCTTTGGTGGAACTGGCTAGAAATGCTCGCTTGTTTTCATCGAGTGTCATCACCATCGGGGAACAAAATCAGTACGTGGGTTTTGTTAAGTTTTTTCCAGCTAGGACACAGATTCAGATATTGGTTGGTGATGGTTTAATTGTGCAAGTACACCTGTGAGCAGTGGACATGATATCGCCTCATTTCAGGTTCAGTCCTTGTTGTTACCTGTACAGTCGATTTTAAGTTCTCATAATGGAAATGCTTCTTAGAACAGCAACCAATTTTGAACGTAGGCCTTAATTTTCTATAATTCTGTACCACTTAGCTGTTTCTACTGTTTTCTGTTTATTTATGCAGACTTCACAATAATGGATTTGTATATAAAATGTGATTAGTATTGAGGCTTTTCTTTTTCCAGTAATTAAGGACTTCAGGAATCTATTTGTAAAATAAAATTGAGCCAGGAGAAATTCACCACAAACTGTTAAGCATAGACCAGGTGTGTAGTGATAATTAAGTTACATTTTGGGGGAAAAAAACAGCGTGCAATTGCCATTGCCAAGAGGTTTCAGCATAGCTAGGTGTGGGGACTCCGAGGCTGTTTTCCCAGCTCCTGTTTAGACTGTGTGACCGTGAGTAAAGCACTGTTTGCCTCGGTCTTTTCGACTTTAAAATACTGATACCTCCCTGCCTCTTCAGAAGGTTGGGAGGATTAGTTAGTTAATATTGATGTGCTGTTTTGTAGGTCTGAAGCGCTCTATTAAATAATAGAGAATGAAGGCAGCCCTAGCTCGCACTTTTTCAGGGGGATGTTTTGATGTCCTCGTGAAAGGGGTCCCTGGCCCAGATTCATGGCCAATATAAGTTATTTGTTTGTTTGAAAAGGTACTAAAAGCCATCAGTGCAACACCAGTTGTGTTGAAGTTGGCTCACTGACAAACGTGGCCACCGAAAACTCATAGAATTGCTTAGGTTGGAGAAGACCCTTAAGATCAAGTCCAACCATTACCTTCGCACTGCTGTTAACTCGCTCCTTGTGAGGAAGGGAGACTTATTACAAATTGGATCTTGAAATAAAAATTGATGGCAGACACAGCGCTGCAGTGCCTGTAGCTAGTGGTGACGGCGAAGCTCTGCGCAGAATCTGCCACACGAGGTCATGGTATCCTCGGCTTTCTCGCTGAGCTGGCGGCGAGAAGAGCATTAGCATTTTAACAGTGAATGGCTTTGGAAAAGGTAAAGAAGGAAGAGGTTGCCTCCTCGCTCTGCCAGAGCAAAAACATTAAACCGATTAATAAATACTCTACTGAATGAGAGACTTTTCATCTGGAGGGAGGGGAATAAAGCAATCCCCCACTGGATTAAGTGTAAGGCTAGAAAAGGCTGAGCCGGTGGGAGGGGTTTTGACATGAGAAGGGCTTCGTGCAGGCACCAGCTGTTTCTGTGCTGTGGGTGAATATTAGCACATGGATAACACTAATCCTGACGTGTCTGAGCGATAACAGTCTTCTAGCGCTGAGCTTTCGGGGCCGAATGCAGGCAGTGAGCAGTACTAACGCTGGCAGAAGAAAGCAATTAGGAATTCTCCCAACTGAAGTCACGCACGGTACTTTACGTGCCAAATGTCAGCCCAAGTTTGGTATGGCTCCTCTGAAAGTCCGATTGAAATCCAGTAGTGACAAGAAGTGCGGATTCCATAGTGGGACTAAGTGGTGATTTATTTTTGCCTGAGGTTGGTATTCAGCGTCGGTGTAAAATCAATATAACGTGCAGCGTCTGAAAGTCTAGGCTGTTGCGTGGAGGTGACTTGGTGTTGGCTTTAGGTCCAGGTTTCGATCCATAGTTATAAATAATACAACAGCAGCATATATAAGAATTTAATACATGATAAATTAGAATGCCGGTTGTTGCCCGTTTCTGCTGACTGCTCTTCCCAGTGGCTTAGGCGGGGTGTGTGTTCCATATGTGTGTCCCCAGAATGCCAAGGCGCTCCAGCTTGTGCTGGCTGTCCCTGCTGGCTAACAGTGCTGACGGACTTGGGAAAAGGTGCTTGGTTCCTGGGAGTTACTTAAAAGGTGTCGCCACTGCAGCTCATTCGGAGTACACCCCTGTGCTCTCTCCAGACCTTTCTGTCCTGCGTTTTGTGTTCCAATTTCCCTCTAAGTTGTGACTTGTCTTTTAATAACTACTAAAACCACGATCTTGTACAACTTGTAACAGACTTCTAGCCAAAATTTCACTAGTATGCGGCCTCCTTGAGGATGTGGCTTTTGCTTCTGTTCCAGTTTTGGTGTCTTAGGTTTTCTGGTCCTCTTTCCTAAGCAATTCTGCGTTAGCCTACCTGATTGCTGGGGCTCTTCCAAACTTCTGGCTTAATTCAGCACTGTCTATGTGTGCTTTCTCCCCCCCTTCCCCCCCCCCTAATTATGTTCAGATTTGCCTCTGCTAGTTCCTTAAAAAGGATAGCTATTGCTCAAAGTTTCTGCTGCACCTTTGGCTTGGCCCTTTCAGTGGGGCTAGCTCCTGGCCTTTACCCTGACCCTCAGCTGAGCGCCGTGCCCTCGGGTCACTGACTGTTTTGTTGCAGCAGACTGCAGGTCCGGATCGGCCGCCGGTGTCCTGTCCGTGCGGCGCCTCGGGAGGAGAAGACCCGCTGTCGCAGAAAGCGGGACTTGACTTCTTAGGTCTCCGTTTCGCTGCTCGTTTCATGAGGGTTCATTGCAATGGTCCAGCATAGTTGGGTAGGTGTTGCACGTGTGCTTGTCCTTGTCAACAGCTCCTTTGCCGTCTCTGCTGTATTGTTCAGGGGGTAGGCATCGTGTCAACTCTCCGAAAGCTTGTTTGAAGTGGGATTTCTGTTGCAGTGTACTCTGGCCGTGGTCTGACGAGAGCTTGTTAGGATGCCGTAGCTTTTATGGCCCGCTTGAACTGCAGTCCTTGCTGGGGCGTGTTTTAAATGTCAGCTTTCTGAGAGGTAGACTTGCTGTGTATTGTGGCAAAGGAACGTAGCTCCGTTTTTTGTGGAACAGAGCAGTTTAGTGTCTTGGAGAGTTAACTGGGATTCCGTGAGGCTCGGAGCCTTCCTTTTCTCCGCTTTCAGTGTGCCTTGTACTATTGTGTGTACACCTACAATTGGGTTTTTGTGGCTAATGAGTGCTCCTCTATCCCTACACATTCAGCTATGAAGTACATACTGATCTCACAGTTTCAGTTCTTACTTGCTGAGATTTACTCTCAGTCCCCTTTGAAAGTAATCACAGCTTATGCACAAGACTTGCCTTTTCCGCAGAGGACAGCGTGATGCTCGTGGTCTAGTGGGTGATAGTTCTGTTGCTTCTCGCTTCCCATCCTGTTCGGCGTTTTGGTATGGACAGGACTCATCTTTGGTGATGCTAAGATGCTGTGGCATGGTATGCTCTAGAAATGGGTTCCTAATGCTATCTGCCAAGCCTTAGGGCTCTGTCACACACCGGAACTTGTGTGATACAGCTAGAATCTTGATCACCTTTGTAGTTATTTAGCTCAGGTAAGTAACGGCTTTTCATGATACCTGCTAATGACTTAGAGTTAGCCTATGCATGCAGTGGGGCCGATAGAATTTGCCCATGCCAGAGATGAGTCAGTAACTCTGTCTGAAAACTTGCTTTTCTCCCAAGCTTGTTCACCCATGGTACACTCAAAGCGATAATGCATCTTAGCTTTATGTTTTATTGACGGGCTGCACTTGCCCGTTGCTCTCAGATGAGGACATCTCCAGCATCTGGTTGCACTTTTGGCTTTAAATACTGCTGTGAGCATTGCTTCTGGGATTCTGGCTGGAATCGTATTGGCACTAGGTCAGAAAGCATT